TGTGAAATCAATATATACACATTTGATTAACACAATATACATATTTCTAGGTCATTTTCGAAATACTGAATGTTTGAAAGGTGGTATCCTCTCAGACTCACCGCCCGTCAGCTGAGGTTTCGACCAACTAATATTGATAATACTTAAAGATACCAATTTGAATGAGAGAATCGGTTCTTTTGTTGAAACGTTTAGAATAACATTCAGTTTATGTTCATGTTATCATCTGTTTATTCTCGACGACGAAACTCCGACACCGGTTATTGGTTTATCTGACCAAAAAGATACCAAGGCAATTCATCAAAAAGAAGAAGTTATTGCATACGGTTGGATGCAGACCAAGAATAAGATAAACTTAACGCACATTAACGCAGAGATGTCTTCTGTTTTCTCCAATTTCCGCGTTTTCTATGTTTACTTTAACGCGGACATATTTAATATGTATACCAGAGTATACTCACGTTAAGTATGTGCGTTTATTCAATACTTAACGGGCGTTTACTACAGATGCTGAACCTTTTCCTTTCCGTATATTTGACGGCACCTCAATGCTTATAACAACCACAGGTCGTATAATACATAACACTGTATTAATTTTGTGCGAACGAAGCTCTTTGATCGATTCACCTTCAGCACAATTGTTCAATATTGGGAAGGAAAGGGTATATAAATACCAATGTTACTGCACCAGCTGCCCATTTCGACAATTAATTATAATGTATTGTCAGTGATACTCGAGGCTAAAATATTTCAAATCAAAACCTATAATACTATCGTTGAAGAGCTGATAAAACTAAAAAGGGCCTATAGTTTAGTTAAATCCATATGGGGAGTCAGAGCTTTGCTTAAAATGATTATAAAGTGAAACATCTCTAACAAGTGACTTAATTGTAAAAATCAAACTGAAAAAGTAATTTGTCAAATCCAGAAAAGGAGTGAATTAGCATCAATTCAAAACCAAGTAACTACTTAATATCTTAGTCTTAACGATACTTTTATCGGTCAGGGAAATATCTTAGAACAGGCATCCAGCAATAAAAATTATAAATCTTTAAGAAAGTTAAGTATGACGACGAGCATTTCATGGTGGTAATTATAAAAGATATCAAATGTAATCAACGTAGATCGGAGGTTAATTAAGCTGCCATGAAGACTAGTTGTATGAACAATAGTCGACACGTTCATTATCTCACTCTGTTCCATAACCAATGTGCAGTTATCTTAACAAAAAGACATCTGACGCCTTCAGATAAGAGCACATTTTCAAAATATATGTTTTTGATCATAAATTAAATCAAATGCTAAAAAATTTACGTAAAAAATCTGACAATTTCGAAAATCTACGAATCGTACTTGTCTCTAAACAAATATACATATATACCGTTAATTAACCAGTAAAGAAAGTTTCTCCCTATCTAATATAGGTTTCAAGATAAAAGGCAAAAAAAAATAAATGGTAAATTCATCATTAAAGGGCAATTACTCCTATAAGAAGTCATCTGATTGTTTTGACTTGAAAGGACAATAAATTCAAAATTTTCTCATTTTATAGCAGTATCAAAATAATAGACAAAACTTGGATATTATTCCTATGTTCTATTTTTAGCAATGTCGGCCATCTTGGTTGGGACTCAGGTTCATCGGACACATTTTTTTAACTATATACCCCAATCATGATTGTGGCCAAGTTTGGTTAAATTTGGTCCCGCAGTTTCAGAGGAGATGATTTTTTAAAAAATTAACAGACAACGATGGACAACAGATGCCAATTGATTAGAAAAAGTAACAAGAGTGCACACGCTGAAATGTCTCGCCTACTATACTGACCATTGATTTTATGTTGATAGTCCTTAATATAAAGTTTTACTACAAGTATCACATTAACATTTATGATCTAAGAAAATGAGGTCAAGGTCAGATAAACCAAGGCAGAAATACATGTACACCTTTAATACAATCATTCCATACACAGAATATAGATGACCTATTGCTTATAGTATAAAAGAAACAGACCAAACCATGGAAACTCCATATTGACCAATGAACAATGAAAATGAAGTCAAGGTCAGATGAACCCTACCAGACAGACATGTACACCTTAAAATCATTCCATGCTTCAAATATAGTTGACCTATTGCTTATAGCATCTAAGAAACAAAGTCAACCAGGAAAACTGAACATTAACCAATGAACCATGAAAATGAGGTGAAGGTCAGATGATACCTGCCAGCCGACATATACACCTTAAAATCATTCCATACACCAAATATAGTTGACCTATTGCTTAAAGTTTAAGAAAAATAGACCAAAACACAAAACCTTATCATAAGCAATGAACCATGAAAACGATGTCAAGGTCAAATAAAACCTGCCAGACTGACATGTACATCGTAAAATATTTCAATACACCAAATATAGTTGACCTATTGCATACAGTATTAGAAAAACAGACCAACACACAAAAACTTAATATTGAGCAATGAACCGTGAAAATGAGGTCAAGTTCAAATAAAACCAGCCAGACTGACACGTACATCATAAAATATTTCCATTCACCAAATAAAGTTGACCTACTGCATACAGTATTAGAAATACAGACCAAAACACAAAAACTTAACATTGAGCAATGAACCATGAAAATGAGGTCATAGTCAAATAAAACCTGCCAGACTAAAAATGTACATCGTAAAATATTTCAATACACCAAATGTAGTTGACCTATTGCATATGGTATTAGAAGAACAGACCAAAACACAAACACTTTACTTTGAGCAATGAACTGTGAAAATGAGGTCAAGGTCAAATAAAACCTGCCAGACTGACATGTACATCGTAAAATATTTCCATACACCAAATATAGTTGACCTACTACATACAGTATTAGAAAAACAGACCAAAAAAAACTTAACATTGAGCAATGAACCGTGAAAATGAGTTTACACCTTAATATCATTACATACACCAAATATAGTAGACATATTACTTATAGTATCTAAGATGTGGACTTGACCACAAAAACTTCACCTTTTTCACTGATCCATGAAATGAGGTCGAGGTGAAGTGAAAAATGTCTGACAGGCATGAGGACCTTGCAAGGTACGCACATACTAAATATAGTTATCCTATTACTCATAATAAGAGAGAAATTAACATTACAAAAAATCTTAACTTTTTTTTCAAGGATTCACTGAACTATGAAAATGAGGTCAAGGACAATGGACATATGACAGACAGAAACTTCATATCATAAGGCATCTATATACGAAGTATGAAGCATCTTGGTCTTCTACCTTCTGAAATATTAAGCTTTTAAGAAGTAAGTTAACGCAGATGCAGCCGCCAGATCACTATCCCTATGTCGAGCTTTCTGCCACTAAAAGGCGCAGGCTCGACAAAAATCAGTTAGAAAAGGCTCGAATATGTCTGGCATTTTAAAGCATTTATAACAAGCAAGACAAACACTAACATTTTTGGTTATTACATGAAAGTATATTTATTGTAACATGAATTCACAATCATATTTCACAAATTGTTCTTCACTTCACTTCATTGGCAATGGATTATCACAAATATCAATAATAAATTAAATTTACACTTTTACTCCTTTGTTTGTCTGCAGTGCCTGGAAATGAAAAATGTTATGTTTGTCAATAGTGCTAGTTAGTTTTAGGTTTTATCTTAGTGGTTTATTCAAATTTGTTCAGATATGCAGTCAATCATGCACTTTTCAGTCTCTTTTCATATATCAGTTTTTTCTGATTTGTACAAGTAAATAAGAAGGAAAAGTACTGAATAAACTGCAAGGCTCCATCTGAAAAATTGACTGAGAGACTGAAAATGACATACATCTTTATTGTTCAGTATTTTAAGATAAATTCAGAATATATTTATAGGATACCCTTTAAGACAGTTTAGAATAAATCCAAAAATAAAACTATGAAAAAAATATATGTCTCAGTTTGATGCTAGCAGTTACTCAAACATAAGATTTGATGAATGACAATAAAACTTTCAGCCTCATTTCATACTTATGGTAGTAAAAAGAGGTTTGACGCTTAACAATCAAGGCTCTTCCGACCCTCATTCATTAGTGTATGGTACACCTTTTAATCCTTAAAATCTAACATTATCTTTGCTGTATGGGATTTACATGTTTAATGAAAAACAAACTCCAGTAAGTCAATATACACCATAAAAGACTAAAAACATATATATATATATATATCACAAGTTTAACCTCTAGCTCTAGGGCAAAAGATAGCCATTGTTTCAGTTGATATCAGTTATCTGTTCCAGAAAAAAATACATTTACTTTTCAAGAAAAAAGATATTATTTATATTTTATTCCTCAAGCTACATATAATTCTTTAATAACAACATTGGATAAATTGCCAGCAAAAATGAATAGCTGTACACATCCTCTACACTTTTTTTTCATTTTATAACCTGAGTTGTACAAAGTCAAAATAAGCAAACAAACTCTTATCATTTTAAATTGCAGGAAAAAATGAAAAAAACAAATATTTTCGCATTTACCTTTGGTGCAGTATATACAAATGATTTATATAATTATTGTTGTGTTAATATTTTTTACTACATTCGTCTGTTGATTAATCAAAATGCCTATTTCCAAACATTGAGGAAAACCAAAAAGGGTCATCCTAGCAAAAATATATATTAGATCTGATGTTTAGCAGTTTGTTATTTTGTATCTTGACTGTAAGCTGCCTTCAGAGTATGGTCTTTGTTTTATTTCTTTAAACTCAAACTGTCTGCATGGTTATGACAATGAAATCAACAAAAGAAAAAGCAACAAATACCTGCTTATCTACCTTTAGTTTGTCCACTGATCACAGATAACAAGGGCGGGTGGGGAGGGGGGGGGGGGGGAAACTATTTAAAAAAACACATATTCATGTGTATGTCATGGTTAGTTGCCTACTTTCATACCTTAGTTCGTTTTTAGTGTTTTGTTGGGTTGGTTTTTTTTTTTTGGGGGGGGGGGGGGGGGGGGAATTTGGTGTTGATTGTGGATTTTTAAACTTCCTGCTGAATTAACTTTCTTTAACATTGGATGGTTTATAGCTTTATATATTGACTATACACCTGTGTATTGACCACTTGTAACTTTTGGTTATTTGTGTCTTTAGATTGCTGTCTTAAATCAATAATTATTCAAAAGAATCTATAATGGTATTGTATAATGGTAAAATATTATCCTTTGCATGTTAAAATTAAATAATAACTACAGAAGATGAACAGTGAAAGATGGTTTAACTCTAAATATAAAGGAAAAAACATGGTTACTTATAAAAAATAAAAATCTGAAAAAAAAGTTATATTCTCTTATATACATATATATAAATATACATGTAACACAAAACACAAAAACTCAACAACCACATGTCCCTCCTGAATTAGTAGATTGTGCCGTCTGCTTTTTGGGAGAGTCCACTTTCATCCCAGGGGAAGAACTAGTTGGTCTTAATGAATTGTCTTGTAGGTCTATTGTATGAAGTCCACTGTTTGGTGAAGTTTCATAAAGTTTTATTAACTGTTGTGCTACTTGTAAAAATGCATCATCGATTCCTACAATAATAAAATCAAAAATAATTTACTTCTAGTGTCAGATTTCCAAAATCTGGAATATTAGCTGAAAATATTAAATATATTAGATGGCAACAATTTTTAGAAAAAGTGGATTCTCATAAAATTATTGTTATCTACTAAACTATCAATCAAACACACATGAAATATGATAGTTTGTATTTCTAGTTTCAGGTACAATACTTCTTATGATCTGATAAATGAGATAATATCAATGATATGTAGATAACTTTTGCATAATCAATATCTCGTCCTGAACATGCATGAAATATTTGCCAGTGGACATTAAGCAATCAATCAATCAATCATAATCAATATCATACCTGACTCTTCTAAAGCTTGTTATAATTGTGAATTTTATACTGTTTAAGGTGGTACCTAACACTACAGGGAGATAACTCTGTAAAAATCAGCTAAATGTTTTAATTACGTTGTATTGTTAAGGAAATATTAAGCTTCTCAATGATCAAAATTAGTGTTTGTCAAACTGCTATATAACCAATGAAATTTTTCTGATAAAGTGGTTGGTTCAAATTTTTTGAAATTTTTATATTTTTGTCAAAGGGTCAAAGTAAACATTTTGTCAAAATTTTATGAAAATTAAACGAGCCAAATTAAAATTAGTCAAGGTGTTGGGTACCACCTTAAGATTCTATTTATCTGAGTTTCCATGTATAATTAAGAGAGAATGATTCGGCCCATATCGATGTATCATACTTTCCTTGAGTTCAATTATCCATATTTTAACCCATACTTAGATTTGTTTCAATCCTGATTTAGGAGTCCGAGTTATTACTTAGCACTCCCTTTAAACAGCAAATTATTCTTCTGGTATCTTTGAGAAAATTTTTCTTTTGTAAAATAGACAGGGGTGTGGACGATAGAGTACAATAAGCACCATGTTTGTTATTGAAATTACTCTCTTACCATTTTCAAAACTAATAATTTTACCTAATCCATATTAATATGTAATTTTTATTCAATATCAAATATAAACAGTTAAATTTCAAAATTAAATGCTTCTTTACAAATTTCTCGTTTCTTTTCACTGCATTGCTTAAAATAAACTGGAATCTGTGTGAAATTCAACGATACGAAAAAAAGTGTAGAAGTCAACCAGGAACCAGCTTATGCATAATGATGTATAAACTACAAAACGTAATCGGTTATTTGTTCCATTTTGGTGTTACATACTGACGAATGTGTTTTGTTTTAGCTTAAGATCCTTCCAACATTAATGTGATATATATGTTAAACATTATGTTATTCAAGGATGGAATTGTTTTACTTTCAAAGTCGTATTCTAGTGATGTCTATTAAGTACGGATTTTCCGTACACTCTCACCGTATTTATTTTCGTTTACACATGATATTCAGACTTCCAGTTTAAACATACACAAGTTTCTAAATTTTGACTTATTTTAACACTTGTGAAGTGTTCTAGAATCATTTACAAGCATTTTCAACTTCTATTTGATGGAGTTCATTAGACATTTTCTAAGTTACAAAATGTTTTTTTTCCTGAATTCTTGTGTCCAGAAGGGGGGTGCGGACAATGTACCAGTGCGAACTATACAAGGCCGGTTACGGTAGTTTATTCTACACGCTGCAGCCAGCAAGAGAAAAAGTGGTGTATTCATGTCTACCTGTATTTTTTAGTGCCGATGTTTCACAATACAAAGCACCGATAGATGAGGCATATTCCATAGCATCTTCTGTGGAGACTTCTCTTACATCACTAAGATCATTCTTATTACCAACCAAACACATCACTGTAAACAAAGAATACAATGTAAACAATTATCTAAAAATGTACACTAAATACAGGACTTTTGTATGAGTTAAAGGGGCACTAGCTACGAGATATATAAAAAATGTAAAGTATGATTTTTTTTGTTCAATCATTAATGAAAGTAAAATAGTGAAATAATAATTCGGTTTTAGCAGCCAGTATGGCTCAATTTTGTCAAATTAAGCTAAGAAACATTGATGATGAATTATTCACTTGCAAGTGAATGATTCTACCTCATTGAATCTGTATTCGTGTGAACTTCAGTTTAACCCCTTAGCTAGAGATGGATAACGCATGAATTGTGTGTGTTTGGTTATTTAAAGGAAAAGAATGTCAACATTGAAAGTGAAAAAAAAGTAAATCATTTGATTGACCGATTTGATCCACAGAAAATCATTCTTATACAGGTAAAAACGATGATTAACATATATTTTTAATCTATAATATGAAATTAAACAGACCTAGAAAAATCCAATTGCACGAGTTTGCTTTCTATTTATATCTATATTTATGTTTATATCGCTTATATGACCATCGGAGGTGTTCGGAGGTCAACTCGATAGTTAATTAGATAGCTTCAAGACTAAAATATACACGAAACGAAGCTACATATTATCGAGCCCATACTCTGTAAATTGTTTATTTTAGACTTTTTAAAATTTGGATAAATGTTTAACATGGTTATAAATCAAATATAAGAATTTGAGTCAAATCGGTGAACATGAATTTGACAGCTAGTGCCCCTTTAAACAACTGCATCAATTATTCATTACATACATGTATTGCATTTTAAGGGTTAAAAATTTGTGAGAAAAAAAAATGTGCCTGGTCCTAGGGTAGAGCAGAATGTTCAGACAACAGTAACTGTTTGATTCCTGAGATGGTCTAATTAACATGTCAAAGGGTTGGCATTTTACAATCGTTCTTCTTCATGACATTTGTTTATATTATTCTTTTGTTTATCTGTACTTAATCTAATTTAACATGTTTAAGTGAAAGATGTTATTACATAAGCTCTTATATCATGTGTCTTTTTAATATCTGAGAGCTCTTTTCAACAGCCAGTAATTATGATATCCATCATCTCAAATAGGGCTGTTCCAGAATTAAATGCAAGGGCGGCATAAGAATCACATTTTTAGATCATTTTACTTATTGTTTTAATAAAATTCAATTAAAGGAAAATGCAACAACCGAAACTAATTAATTTGAGTACCTCTCATCCCCCAACCCCTAGACATGAATAATTTTAGAACAGCCCTCAGCTAGTTTGGGTTAATCTGACATGTTATACAATGGAACCATTACAAGTCTACTTTATCAGTGTAAACATTTTGTTATCTTACCAATAGGTGTATCAATATTCTTCTTTAGTTCTGGAAAACACAATAATCAAAATTTCAATTTATCTATTAAGGTGGTACCTAACACTACAGGGAGATAACTCTGTAAAAATCAGCTAAACGTTTTAATTACGTTGTATTGTTAAGGAAATATTAAGCTTCTCAATGACCAAAATTAGTGTTTGTCAAACTGCTATATAACCAATGAAATTTTTCTGATAAAGTGGTTGGTTCAAATTTTTTGAAATTTTTATATTTTTGTCAAAGGGTCAAAGTAAACATTTTGTCAAAATTTTATGAAAATTAAACCAGCCAAATTAATATTAGTCAAGGTGTTGGGTACCACCTTAAAACGTGAACATCAGATATGACAAAGGTTCCAAACAAAAAACTTGAATAAAGGTAAAAAAAGTAACATACAAACAATCTTTCAAATTTAATGTTTATGAAATTGACACTGAAAATATTTAGGATTTGAAATTCAAGGTTTGTCTGGGAGGTCAGTGAAGTCACAATCAGGTCAAGATTATTTATGATTTTAAAATGGACATGAATTTTGTGCCTCATTGAAGTTGGATGATTGTATTTTAGTTCTTTCAGAGATTTTAGAAATATTGCTATAACTAAATTGGAATACTGTAAATTCAGAAATTATTACGATGTTGAATTTACAGTATTAAAATCCATGCATGATTTATATCTTGTAATACTCAAATATAGTGCAATTAAAAAGTGCCTATGAATTAAATAACCTTTTTTTTTTAAAATGTCATTTTCAAATTTCTTTAAAGAAGATTTCTTGTTACATTTTTGTATGTTTTATTTAATCTAATTTTATATATTCCATGTACAGGTATTTCAATATTCACTTTTATAGCACCTCCAGTAAATTAGTGAAAATGTGATTGGTCAGTAGATTTCATATGGGTATCATGACTTCACCTCTCCTATATCATCATTGTATTTCATTGTTTATTTTTATACAAAACTTGGCAGGAAACTTCCTGTGTGAAATAAATTCTTTAAATGGTTCGCAACTTATGCCCTATGGATCCATAAAGGATTATTTAAATCCATAGGGATAATCTGTAGGGTGTCAATAGAAAACCATATAAATTATAGTGTCAACCTACATGATCTATTCAAAATTATTTCTTTATACAATCATAAGAGTTGAAGCATGAAATGCAAATCTTTTCATCGGGTGACTAAACTCATGAACTCAATATCTGATTTCTTATCTTTTAAAAGTACCTTTCATACATACAGAAAGAAATGAAAAAGAAGGCTATAAGAACCATTGAAAAGTACCTACCACTAACCCAGTCTTTAATATCATAGAAACTATCAGCTGATGTCATATCATATATCAGCATGGCTGCATTAGCTTTTCTGTAATACATTGGTGCCTGAAAATTGTGGAAGCAAATTATTATTCTTCTATAAACAGTTCTCCTTCTGATTCAATATCAACACTGACCCGAATTGAAAGGGGGTTTGTTAAATTTTTTTTTTTTAAATAACCATTTTAACTCAACCCACTGTCATGTGCCTGTCCCAAGTCAGGAACCTTCTCAGTGGTTGTCTAATGTCATATCTTAATGTTTTTTTTAATATTTGGATGATACTGTGGATTCATTATTATTCGATGGATACCAATTTTCGTGGGTTTCGTGGAAACAGGTGAACAACGAATTCAAATGTTGAACGAATTACAATTTTGCAATAGGCTTTGTATGCAGAGGCTGGCAAAACCACGAAATCAAATATCCACGAAAATGCAAGTTTTACTCAATCCACGAAAATTGATACCCACGAAAATAAATGAATCCACAGTATGGTAAATAAAGGAAGATCTTTGATAGCTTCTATTTTTTTATATTCATTCACAACTTTTATAGACTGGATGATTTAGTGCTTTGCACATTAAATATATGTTGTCTTCTGTTTGTTTGTTACCCTCTAAATCAGAGTTCTTGAAAAGTGGTGGTCTGAAGGTCCTGACCACAAAATTTTTCCAAAGGACCGAAAAGGACCAACACAATTTTGATATTTTAGAATAGAAACAATAGTGAGGACCAGCAGATTTTCTTCAAGGACCACCAGGATAATAAAGATTTCGAGAACTCTGTCTCAATGTTTTTCTGAACCTCAAATTAAAGGTCACCTCTAGATCTTGTAACATCAAATTTTTTCCTACACCCTGACCTCTATTTACCTGTTTGACTGTATTATCAGGTTTTCAGCATACAGATATAGTAAAATATCACATTTCGGTCACAATATGAATCTTTTCCTGTTTTGCTGACTATCGAGCTGCATCTATATATGAAAAATTTGATACTTTGTTTATCAGATTGTATTTGTGTTACTTTCATTATCTGAACAATATTTTTTCTGTGTTTTACCAGGTAACAGTTGAAATTCTTACTGTCCTCATCATGAATCTTGCTGACAAAATTTTACCATAGATCTAAATCTCTCCTGCTCGGCTGTATCCCAAACTTACAATTGATCTGAATGTCTTCTCCTGCTGTATCCCAAACTTACCATAGATCTGAATCTCTCATGGGCCGCTGTATCCCAAACTTACCATAGATCTGAATCTCTCATGGCCCGCTGTATCCCAAACTTAACATAGATCTGAATCTCTCCTGGCCCGCTGTATCCCAAACTTACCATAGATCTGAATCTCTCATGGCCCGCTGTATTCCAAACTTACCATAGATCTGAATCTCTCCTGGCCTGCTGTATCCCAAACTTGTAACTTAATCCTATAGTTGTCTAATGTCCTACAATCATAATTGGTGTATGTATTATATACACCTTGAGGCCATTTTCAATGCTACATTATTTTAGCATATATATCATACATATATATATGGTTTGTAATTCACAAACACATTTTCTCAATTCATATTATATGCTGACACTTTCTTTTGAATTTAAGACAAGTGTTTACTTTCTAAAATTCTGTAGTCTAGTGGTTGTCGTTAAATGTCATCATATTTATTTTTCATGTAATGTTATAACTTTAATCTAGATCATCCACATCAATGGCGTAATTTTTCATTGCTACATTATTTAAGAAAATATGGTCTGTAATTAACCAACAGTTTTTCTCAGTTGATGTTATAAAATAATTATACCCTTTTGGATCAGTGAATAAAAAGTTTAGCTGAAATTGGACTAAGAATCTATTGACTTTTTAAATGTAGACAAAACCAAACATATACCTTTTCACAAGGTTACAGGAGATGCTTCAGGGGAGAATCAAGGATTTTAGTTATGAAAAAATCTACATGCCATTTCATTTCTTTCAGCATAAGAACTTAACTGGCCTTATGTTGGAAAATCAGTCAATAATATAAGAAATGTAAGGTTTATAACTACATGTACACAGGGTTTTTCTAATTTTAAAGGCTGTACGGTAACCTATAATTGCTTACTTCCACATCATTTGAATTCAGGTGGATAGTTGTCTCATTGGCTATACCCCATATCCTTATTTTCATATTAAATTTCTGTAGGCAGACATGGGCTGTTCACGATGAGAGGTGGAAATAACAAAATCTATGTGAGATGTACCGTACTTCAATCTGATCATAATTAAATTAAAAAGTAAAAAGAACCAAGGGTCATAATTATAACCAAATGAACTTACATCTTATATGTAAAGAATGATGCACCAATGGTTGGACTAACAGCTTTACTGAACATACCACCCACATATCTGATAACTACACTGGTTTTGCCTACACCTGAAAAATAAATTTGTTTGTTTATTAATATTATTATATAGACATTTAATATCATGTATTTTGGGAAATCAAATACCTTTTATTGTAATAAGAGACCATATGTTGACATCTGGATACCTTTTGGATTGTTGTTCTGCTGATATCTCTTTGACATATACCCTACATCTCTTTTTATTCATACCTATGATAATAAAACATATTTCCATTTTCGTGAAAATAAAAAAAATAATAAATGGGGAATGTGTCCATGCGACACAGATGATGCCCCCGCTTGCATATAACGTTATAAAGGGACATAACTCAAGAATAAGTAACGCTACCCAAGTTCAAACTTGATCTGAGTTTTGTGGTAATAAGCATTGTGTATAAATTCCATAACATTTGGTTGAGGCAAACTTAAGTCAGAGAACGGAAATGAAAAATTCAGCAATATTTCAATTAGTAAAGGGCATAACTCTAGAAAGGTAAAAGTGCCACCACCAAAATTCAAACTTGATCTGTGTTTTGTGGTAATAAGCATTGTGTATAAGATTCATAACATTGGTTGAGGCAAATTTAAGTAAGAGAACGGAAATGAATAAAATTCAGCGTTTTTTTTTCCATTTGTAAAGGGGCATAACTCTAGAACAATAAAAGTGACACCACCAAAATTCAAACTTGATCTGTGTTTTGTTGTATTAAGCATTGTGTATAAGTTTCATAACATTTGGTTGAGGCAAACTAAAGTTAGAGAACGGAAACGAAAAAATCCAGAAATTTTTCCATTTGTAAAGGCGCATAACTCTAGAACGATAAAAGTGACGCCACCAAATATCAAACTGAATCTGTGTTTTGTGGCAATGAGCATGGTGTATAAGTTTCATAACATTTGGTTGAGGCAAACTAAAGTTAGAGAACGGAAACCAATTTTGGGACGTACGGACAGACGGAAGTACATACAGACGGACAAGGGTAAAACTTGATGCCCCCTCCCCTACAGCGGGGGCATAAAAATCAGGGATTTCTAAATAAACTATGTTTCATAATGAATTCATTACAGTTTTCGTCCATCAGTTAATTACGTTTTTGTCATGATACTACGGTAAACATTGCAAATTGCGATCATATGATAAATTGACTAAAATTGTAATGCCGACTGACTGATTCTATTTACAAATTGATAAATTTTGAGGATCATTATGACCCATCAGATAAGCAGATTACCTGAAACAACAGATTATGACACCTGTTGCGACCGTTGATTGACTTGGGGTTGTAAACTTGTCATAAATATGTCGCCAGGTAAACTTATAGATTTATAGAAATTGATCAGAAAAATTTCAAAATCAGTAACCAACAATTTTTTCGGGTAGAATTTGCAGGGCCTAATCTATGATTTTGGAGAGGGAGAAGTGACTTCTCCTTCCATGACAGAGTAGGGACAAGTGGTCAATTTCTTGGAGAAGTGAAATTCCATTACCATTTTGGTTGCATAGTGTTTTCGTGCTTATCACTAATGCAATTGATTGTTTTATATATGCAATAAAAAATATACTTGCAGTTTTTTTCATATGATATTGTACAAAATGTATATATTGAAAATTCTTAATAAAAAGATTTAGACAATATAGTTGTTATTTATTTATTCATACCATTTGTACTGTCAACTTGAATTTAAGTTTAAATAAAATTTGTTGCTAGGGACATGAGGGAGTAGCCTTGTAATATTATGATGCATTAAATTCATGTGCATCTGCCTCAATTTATTTTTTAAAAGTCCAAAAAAATATGACTCCCAGTTTATCTGCTGAATTTTACATGGCTGGGCAATTTAATGTATATCACCACTTGTCATTATTTTGTAAAACATTATTGAATGTCCAGGACGTCATGTCAGTTGTAAATTGAGATTCTCGTGAAAGATTGTAAGCCTATAAATGAAGATATCTGTCAATCACATATTAGTTTTTTTATATAAAAGATATCTTCCTTATCTGCTTATTAACGAATTTGTCATGAACAAAATCCACTGCTGATCACAAGCTGGCCATGCCATGTGTCGTACATTTGCAATCACATTATCCATCAGTTGTCTTTCTACCTGTTATATTTCAATTTTTATTCAATGAATATAAAAAATCTATCGTTATTTCCCACCGAATAGTACAAAAGAATTTAAAAAAAAACAAATCAGCTGAGTGATTACGCAACATCCTCAGGTGAAAATCATCGTAAAATGATAACTCAATCAGACGCTCAGTTTCCTGTTTGAATAGTTTTAAATGTTAATTCCGAGGATGTTCAAAGTCGCTGTTGTATTTATTTCATTTAATTGTTGACAGTATTAGTCCTCAGTCGTTTCAAAAAATCTTGATTTTCCTTGTCAGTGCCATTTTTGTTTACCTGTTTACCCTTCTACTGATTTTGATAGCGATTTGACTTCGCTATGAAGTCAGTCAGCCGGCGATATTTTAAAAAAAATTTTGACCACTTAAATTGTCATTTCGCCGGCATGATTATGGCCTGGACTTTGTGAAAATCTAGATTTTGACTTGTTTTACTATCCTGATATCGTGATTCAGGTTGAGGCATGAAAATCGGGATGATACCGCCAAAATCAGGATAGTTGGCAGGTCTGGATGTCTTCTTCTTCTTCTTAAGTTATACAACATTCCCTGACTTCAGATGATTACATACTTTGCATACATGGACTTATTATTGAATTTTACCCCAAATTAAGCAGGAAATATCTGTATTTGAATACATTCTACCCTGTATCCTAACACTCTTTCGGTGTTCAGGGTTGGGAATTTTTCCTTGTAGGGTTGAACATAGGTTAGTGAAATGTCTTCATTAATCTCTTTAGGGAGTGCACATGGATACCACTGTATCTTTGCAGCTTTCAAGGGGAGCTCCAAATAATTGAGGTATCTACCACTACCAGTACATACATGGGTAACACGAATGACCGAATAACACTGTTAATATCAAAATAACACTTGTAATGACCGAATTACACTGTTATTATCCAAATAACACTTGTAATGACCGAATAACACTTGAAATTTTAATATTAGTACATATTGGTGACTTTTAAACATTGATTATTAAATAATATTATATTATAAGTGTATTTTATAACTTAAAAATGATTAACAGAAAGCAGGTAAGTTTATAAAGATCGTTTTAAATTTAGTGTGTACATCCAACATGGCGACCATTGTGATTTCCTTGGTCACCATGTTGGATGTACACACTATATTTAAATTAATCTTTATGAACTTACCTGCTTTCTGTAAATCATTTTTAAGTTTATTAATATACTATTATTTATTATTCAATATTTAAAAGTCACTAAAATGTGCTAATATTAAAATTTCAAGTGTTATTCGGTCATCACAAGTGTTATTCTGATAATAACGGTGTTATTTGGTCATAGAGGTACCAGTACATACATTCCATTGAAGGTAGAAATGAAGGTGAAACATGTGCAAGGAGGGGAGGGTCAGACCCCTCTATAAAATAAGTGACTTCGGCAAAATATATAAAAAAATACCATAACTTCGGAAAAATATATAAAAAATACCATACTATTTAACATGTTGAAAGTGGGAAATAAATAGCAGAAGAGAAAGATTTGGACTAACATGACTCATACATCATCTGTGAATATTTTCATCCTGGATAAAAAAAATCAAGAAAACAAGTGTGAATAAAATACCCTGAGATCCTAAAACTACAACTTTAGCTTCAATGGATTTCATTTCTCCTATAGTTTTGACAACTTTCCCCCTAAGTGTGATACATTTGTTTAATGTTGTTGATTCGTATATCGAAACTTGCAAAAGTTTACGTCCACCATTTTAACATCACGTGACAGCTGCGTAAAATAACTGACTTTGGAAAACAATCCCGATCTTTTATTCAATTTAAAAAAAAAGTTCTGCTAAATAATGTGTTCTTATGTTGTATTTCACAAAACATTTAATTAATATATATTGTTCGAAAATAAATAAACGGAGTCGACTTTTAATTTGAATCAATCTGATTACCAAAAATAATTATGGACACGAAATCTCTGAAAAAATAATACTGTCATTATATTGCTAAGACAGGAGTTAAAACGTCTGCTTAACAGTTGTTTTATAAAATACAATCACAAATTTCTTATCTATTTTTCGCATTTTTTATCAGATATTCCAATCGAAAACAAAACTTTAATCTGTCGACCAATATCATCATATATGGCTTGTTTTTTCCAATTTTTACAAGACCAGCATATTCATAATCAAAATCCTCTTGTACTCCCCCCCAAAAAAAATAATTAAACTGTTTGTCCCCTCGTTTTGTGTCGTACAATTGATTTGCATTATTTTCTTGAAAGGTATTATATATCTGTCAAAAATTTTATTTGATCTCCGAGTCAGAATAAACTCGATCAGTTCTGTTTTATGTTTAGAGGAGTCTGAGACTGTGTTATAGTAGTCTCAAGAGGAGTGCATTAATTGAAATAGTTTGAGTGTAACAATTGCACTATCCAATCTCACCGTTGACTACTTGTCATATGCAAACGAAAGATTATTATAGGAGTAGCTTAGACCAGTGTATTTGCTTTCTTCTCAGAAGTTGTCATTGCACTGTCTGGATCCGCCTTCTTGTACTAGTAAATAATGAATGAATAAAACAAATGTAATACTAGTACCGGTATATCAATAACAATAATATTTTCCTATCAATTAAAATATAATGCATACACAACTTTTTTTTTTAAATTGAAATAATGATTTGAAGAGGACAGGAGCTTCAAAGTAACTCTAACCCACACCCAACCCTACTAAACTAGAGAAGAATAGGTCACGCATACCGAAAATTATTGTTAAAGGGAGACCATATCCTCACTTTCAAAACAAGGCTGCCCAGTGTATTAAAGTAGAAACTGGAATTTTGGTTGAATACCTGTTTTTATCGTATCAGAATACATATGTTGCAAAAATAAATCACTGGATGTTCAGTAATTTCTTCTACTTTACAAAGGCCTATCTTTGTGAATTGACCATGCTTCAGATATGTGTCCTTGGGCCTCACACAATCAACAGCAAATCAATTAAAAATCGATCCTTTTTCTTGCTGTTTGGGAAAAAGAATACTTTCACAGTTGGTTTAAAATGTTCACAAAACTACTTATAAACATGATTGGCAAAGTGCATTTTATCAAGCACTTGCAATTCTCACATACAGCAGCAAAAAAATCGAATATTGCATTGGCTTGTATTTATCCTTACTGGTTTGGTAATACATTAAGTGACAAACGTCATCATACATAAAAAAAAACAAACAAATGGAAACATTAGCAAATATATGAATTATCATACACAAAAAAATATACTCGAGTTAAATTTTCACAAGCATAAAATTCTCTCATTCCATTAATCAGAGAACTATATCATAATTAGATTGCCTTTCCTGCAGTTTTGAATTAATTCGAACGCTCTTAATCCTTTAAAATGTTGCATTCTGTTTTATCTCGTTATACAATACAACACGATATTGTCAACATCGCCACAATGTCGACGATGTAATCGCAATGGTGACGATTGGGAATACAAACTAAACACGATACCGTATTGACTATTTTAGATATTGTTACAATTGTGATGTAAACGATGTTAATTCAAGTATACAATATAAAAACGATGTTGATAGAATATCGAGGACGTGGACGATGTAAACACGAATGTAGGCTTTGTAATTTGTATACATTATAAAAACGATGTTGGCACGATATAAATGCAAGGGTAAAGATTATGTATACAATATATAAGCACTATGCCTTGTGTGGAGAGAGTATCAAGCTCTCAGCACTCTTAAAACAACTCTTAGGGTGGAACGTACATGTAGTTGGCTTGGTACAAGCAAAAATATTTTTCCCTATCTAACGCACACTCATTTTCCAGTATATTCGTAATTTCCCACCCTTTATCTCGGTCGACCCCAATCACAGATCCTGCCTATTGTATTTATTGATAATCTGTTCTCTTCCTGAACATTCACGAAAAAGTTGCCACTGGACTCAAAGCAAACAACAACCAACCAATCAATCACAAGGGTGTTAGATTTTGTATACAATATACACAAGATGTTGACACGACATTGTCATGATGGGGTTAAAGCAATTTTGCTAGACGTGGAACTCGATATGTAGAATCGACGTGTATACGATATAGTCGATATTATATATGCTGATGACAATATTTACAAAACATACCTCTCTTAAGGTAAATAATATCGTTCACAGTTCACAGTACATTATGAGTTTGAATTTATTTGTTCCTTTATATAAAGTAAATACAATATAATTTATTTATCAATTTACAAATGTATCTGTCTTCGGTATGCTTATTCATCTATTATTCATCTTTTTATTTATCAATTTATTATTATTATTTTAGATTGGACTTTGATCGTGTTATTTTATTCCATTTAAATTCAGTTATCATATATTGATAAAAATATGTATTTCTAAGAATCCCAATTCGGCTTGATACAATGTATCAGTTTATGTACAGATGTTGCATGTCATGCACGCACTTGTTCAAATACAACAGTTTGACTACTTGATACTTGTGAAAGGGTTTTCCAAGTCGCATGTTTTTTCGAAATGCAATTCAAAACACTCCTCTTGTTTCTAATTACAACAGTTTGTCAAGCTGATCAAGAAAATGAAGCGAGAGATTTATCTACTGGAGCAAATGATAATTCTATTCTTGCAATAATCTTGAGATAACTATTTAGAATAGAAGCAAAACAAAATGGTTCCCCATGACTTACAGATACTTTAGTTCAGACGATCAACGAAAACAAGAAGTTGTATAAAGTATTGCGAAAGCAGGTGACCGACAACAAAGACGAGACTAGCAAACTATCTTCTACAATTAACCTTTTGAAAACAAATTTACAGTCGCAAAAGGCTGAGTTTAATAGGCAAATTTCAGTACTACGAAAACATTATGGTAAGAGATTTTTTTTTATATAAATAACATATAGAATGGGGTGAACGTCAAAGGGAAAACAACCCATCACAATGAAACAGATAGCTAGAAAGAATGGGGTGAACATCACAGGGGACAACAACCCAACACAATATAACAGACAGCTAGAAAGAATGGGGTGAACGTCAAAGAACAATAATCCAACACAATAAAACAGACAGCTAGAGGTTAACATAATTTGTATGGTCTTCATCAACAGAATAAAAGATTTATCGTATACCATTGAAAGAAGTAGATGTACTAGCTAAAATAACAAGTCAATTTCTCAAGACTTATAAAACACTTTCTGAATACAGTTGATGACCTTTGTAAAGGTACAGAACCACTAATTCAGGCACAGTCGGAAAGAACATACAAGAAAGTAGTACATATTTGAAACAAAATAGCTCCTACGCATAGCTGTATCTTTTTCAATAGGTGAAATATTATGGTAGTTTTTGTATCAAATGAAAGCTTAGGGACTTTGAATCAATGTAGAACCCTTATTGAAAGTTTCTTTTGAATGATAAAGATGTATATTAAATTATAATAGGAGGGAACATTTGCCCTGTTGTTCAGATCAGAAGTACCGGTTTGCGGACTATCAAACTTCCGGGCACCAGTACGCTCTAATATGCAATTAAAGGTATGTTGAATTTTTCAGCACAAGTTAGGATAAGGTATAGTTTTGACATGAAATGACTGCCACTTTATTTGAATTTAAGACTAAGTAACCTTTAGTGCTTGAAATTTCAGAATTTAACATAGAAAGCAATGGGGATATGAATTAGTGGTTTTATACCTTAACGGACAGTTGAAGTGTACAGCAAGTCATTAATTTTCTCATTTCAGAAAAAATACCAACATTCACTGCTACCTTAAGCAATCATGGATATATGCCATTGGCCCGTGGACAGATATTGAAATTCGATAAAGTTCATTTCAACAATGGCGGCGGATATGACCCGACCACGGGATACTTTACTGCTAAGAAGACCGGAATTTACTTAATGGCATGCACGGTCCGTGCTACAGGTAACCATTTACATGTAACACTTTGGCGAAATAGTCAACGAATTATGCTTTCTTATGGAGTAAATTGGAACACGGGGAGCTTTAGTATTGCCGTTGATGTAACAATGGGCGATAAACTTTATATCAAACACGAAGATAGGGACAACGAAGTTGTTCAAGGTGGACCAACATCATTCTTTTCTGCTGTATTTATATCTGGATAATAAAGATTTAGCCTTTGATAACACAATCAGATTAAAACTTATTTTTTTAATATTCGGATTTAACTGACAAAACCGTCGTTTTTTATTATTTAAATCGATCCTTTTTTACTTGGCACTGGCTATAGTTACATTAAAATGTAACAATCATAAAAAAAAATATTGTTACATTGGAGACTATAGCTAATTGCAGGGTTGGGTAAGGAACCGATTAATTACGAATGTAACAATAATATTTTTATTCCAATTAAAGGGCCCATGAAGAGCAGTAATTTATTACAATGATTTAGATAATTGACTTAATAATTCTGATAATCTTATATAAATATTGATATAATCATCTCAATTCTAAGATCTTAAACCATTGCCAGATCAGAGCCATACACATATTTATAAAAAAAAAAGCATAACAATTATATACTATATTTAATATTAACAGGCAAATATTCGCAATGGGCTATATATAAACATACCAGAACTATATTGATAGTTTTCTGAGTTCAAAACATTTATTAATATAAATTGCAATAATTTTCAGTACCTCTAGGTTTTCTTGAATAAAAAGTCAATTAAACTTGGCACCTGTGTTTAACATTTCGTCCTTATTCAGACATAACAGCAAAATTACTTGCTTTTCAGTTAACCCCAAGAATATGTTTCATGAATTTTGAGTGCAATTTTTCAGATATGTCTTTTGAATAAACCTTTTCTAAAATGTAACATGCAACTGAAAAGGTTGAAAACATTCCCCATATTTCACTGCCATACATTAAAATAGGACTAATTGTATGGTCATAAATAAGGTGCATTAAAGTTGAGACACAAGGATTTGATGATGCTAGGCATTGTTTTTCTTCTTAACATTGAACCATTCAAATATATTTTTCGCCTTAGGCACTACTAAACTGTAGTAGTATCTTGAAGAACTTTAAAAAAATTAATACTTAAAACTATTTAAACACTATTTGTTGAATAATAATAATAATAATAATAATAATAATAAAAATAATAATAATATTATTATTATTATTACTATTACATATCGAAGAATTAAGCAACAAAACTATAGAAGGTTAAAGTTTAATAAATCTAACAACGTAACCGTAGACACGAATATTATTGTTACGTTTGTAATTAATCAGTTCCTTACCCAACCCTTCATTCCGACAATTAGTCTCCAATGTAACAACTTTTTTATTATTGTTACATTTCAATGTAACCGTTGCCAGTGCCTTTTTACTTTGTGGTTTAGCGTTTCTACACTATACGTACTCTGACACTTAAACTGATAAAGATGAATTTCATAAAAAGAGATACATGATTTTAAATACAATAATATCAAACTGCGATTGAAAGATGGGTTATTTGTCCCTTTATTTATTACTGTATTCATCTTGCTCGTCCGTTCGTTCGTCAGTAACAACTTTTGTTACAAATTACTCAGCTTATGAACTGTCTGTTTGGAGATGCTTTGTATTTAGACCATTTTGAACCCAAATTTACTTGTCCATGCGTTTGCAATAAATAAAGGCAACAGTAGTATACCGGTGTTCAAAATTCATAAATCGATTGAGAGAAAACAAATCCGGGTTACAAACCAAAACCGAGGGAAACACATCAACTATAAGAGGAAAACAAAGGAACAACAGGAAAACCGAAATGCAAAATTGAGGATTAATGCGCCCCATAGTATGCTTATTTAAGATTTCCAGAAAACCAGGGGTTATTTAAGTAGTAGTTGCCTCCCGAAGGATCACGTTTCACTTCAAGACTTTAAACATTGGTTGAAAATTGGCATGTAGAAAGGTGATACATGTTCAATTGAGGATATACCTGGTTTCTGTGAAGTTAAACATATAAGGTAATATATTTAGAGAGCTGTGAAAATTGAAAAAAATTGGTTGTCACCTATACCCATAGTATTGCACGTGATAAGTGAAAAGAACGCATTGCTTCAACAACCATTATTTCCAATATGCAAAATCAAAAAAAATTTAAGTACTCGAGAAAGGACAAATCGTAAGATTACAAATATATACTCGACACGAAATAATCAAATCAAAAACGGTTGAAAATTGTATTTTTGTTTTATCATTTTTCTAAACCCAACAGGAAAAACTTCAATTAAAATTGATCAATAAATTAAGAAAATATGGTTACGGAAAGTCCTTTACCATAATCAAATATCAAAGAAAATTTATATTTCAGTTAAGAAGAGAGCATTTTGTCAAATTGGAGACTGCAAAATTTTTGATTTTCACCAATTATCTTCAATTAATTTTATACTATTTTTTATAAGCATCAATTAGCTTTAAAAAAAATGTTAGATTCAGATTCAAGATTCAATATCTTATTTAAGTCTCACCATGCACTTGTAATACATATAATACAATCATCATAATATATACATTGTATAAATCAGCAATTTTATAAGTTAAAATACCAAAAAGTGCTATTCTAAAAAGAATTATGAGAGGCTATAGAAATTCCAATAAATTATAACTATTTATTTATCATGTCTACAAAATATTTCAGCTCTATAAAAACATATAACTATATTTTTCATGTCTATAAAATATTTCAGTTCTAAAAACACATATAACTATGTTATCATATCTATAAAATATTTCAGTTCTGTATAAACATAACTATATCAATCAAGCATATAAAAAACTATTTTTTCTACTTAAAATATCAAAGCAGGTCTTGGTAACCTTATCATAACAATGAGTTCTTTTAAAAAGATAAACAATGTATAAACTTATCATCAGATAAAAATATTAAAATCGACATTACTTAAACTCTTTTAACTTCGTACTTGTTGACATTTTTTTTTATTAGTTTTCTCGTCTTAATAATGGACGTAATTGTACTTAAATGATCAATATTGCTTCTACTTTTACGAAAACCATTTCGTTCATCATGTAAAATTTTTCATGGTTCTAACCAAGTTACCTGTCTATTTTTCTAAGCACACTTTGCTAAAGTAATTCCCCGATAAGACAATTGATCCCTGGTATCCGATGTAGAACACTTTGAGATAGGTGTGATGATCCCTTTACACTAACAGATGAAATTTTACCAAATTTAAAACATATATTAAACGATTTATGCAAAACTTGTAATAATATATTATATTTAAACAATTCTACATGTATCAAATCGATCCCTGGCGCTTTGACATTTTTAGCTTTACGTTAATACTTTAAAAACTTCATCAATACTAATTTCAGAATCTAAATCAACATCCAAAATATTAATACATTTGATGATGTAAATAAGAAGATGTGGTATGATTCCAATGAGACAACTATCCATCCAAGTCACAATGTGTAACAAGTAAACAATTATAGGTCAAAGTACGGCCTTCAACACGAAGCCTTGGCTCACACCGAACAACAGCAAGCTATAAAGGGCCCCAAAATGACTAGTGTACAACAATTCAAACAGGAAAACTAACGGTCTAATCTTTATATATAAAAAACTAGAAACGAGAAACACTTATGAACCACATCAACAAACGACAACCACTGAACTTCAGGCTCCTGACCATGTTATTCAATCATATATATTTTTTTCTTGAACAGTGGAATCAGAGACAAAAATATCATGCACAAATAGTTTAAAATATAAATATAAATGCAAGGTAGAAACATATCAAAATAAAGGAGATTCTGGGATTTATTAATAATTCTATTCTAACAAATTTGCTTTTTCCTGTTAACTTGTTGAGTTAATGATGATACAGGGTGAATTCATTAACACTGAGTGGCAAATTATGCGTATCTAAAAAATTTCAACAGACATTTAAAAAATATTAAGAATCTCTTCTTTATTTAAAATCCATCAATCAATCCCTCCTTGCGGAAGTCCGAGTTAGAAGTAACAAAACCTTCTCGTCGTTGAAGTACACCTTGTACAACAGGTCCTGCACTGTCTTGTACTGTTATATTATGTCCACGTAAAACTAATCCATCAAGAATAAACTAAAACATAAGAAAATTTTTATAATATATCATATTGTCATGTCACATTCGTTAATTACAGGGACGGAGAAGCGCAGTCAGGGGGAAATACGGCAAGAAATGACCGGGTCAACCGAGGAATAGTTTTTAATACCATATTTCCATATTTTCCCATGCATACAATATATTATTAAATCAGCAGCCTCCCACTCACCAGTACAATGTGATTACTAAGAAACATGCTGTCCCCGGTAAGGGTAAGGTTGAGTGCTCACAAACATGTTTAACCCTGTTCTATACATACAATATACTATTAAATCATCAGCCACCCACTCACCAGTACAATGTGATTACTAAGAAACATACTGTCCCCGGTAAGGGTAAGGTTGAGTGCTCACAAACATGTTTAACCCTGTTCTATACATACAATATACTATTAAATCATCAGCCACCCACTCACCAGGACAATGTGATTACTAAGAAACATACTGTCCCCGGTAAGGGTAGGGTTGAGTGCTCACAAACATGTTTAACCCTGTTCTATACATACAATATACTATTAAATCATCAGCCACCCACTCACTAGGACAATGTGATTACTAAGAAACATACTGTCCCCGGTAAGGGTAGGGTTGAGTGCTCACAAACATGTTTAACCCTGTTCTATACATACAATATACCATTAAATCATCAGCCACCCACTCACCAGGACAATGTGATTACTAAGAAACATACTGTCCCCGGTAAGGGTAAGGTTGAGTGCTCACAAACATGTTTAACCCTGTTCTATACATACAATATACTATTAAATCATCAGCCACCCACTCACCAGGACAATGTGATTACTTAGAAACATACTGTCCTCGGTAAGGGTAGGGTTGAGTGCTCACAAACATGTTTAACCCTGTTCTATACATACAATATACTATTAAATCATCAGCCACCCACTCACCAGGACAATGTGATTACTAAGAAACATACTGTCCCAGGTAAGGATAGGGTTGAGTGCTCACAAACATTTTTAACCCTGTTCTATACATACAATATACTATTAAATCATCAGCCACCCACTCACCAGGACAATGTGATTACTAAGAAACATACTGTCCCCGGTAAGGGTAGGGTTGAGTGCTCACAAACATGTTTAACCCTGTTCTATACATACAATATACTATTAAATCATCAGCCACCCACTCACTAGGACAATGTGATTACTAAGAAACATACTGTCCCCGGTAAGGGTAAGGTTGAGTGCTCACAAACATGTTTAACCCTGTTCTATACATACAATATACTATTAAATCATCAGCCACCCACTCACCAGTACAATGTGATTACTAAGAAACATACTGTCCCCGGTAAGGGTAAGGTTGAGTGCTCACAAACATGTTTAACCCTGTTCTATACATACAATATACTATTAAATCATCAGCCACCCACTCACCAGGACAATGTGATTACTAAGAAACATACTGTCCCCGGTAAGGGTAGGGTTGAGTGCTCACAAACATGTTTAACCCTGTTCTATACATACAATATACTATTAAATCATCAGCCACCCACTCACTAGGACAATGTGATTACTAAGAAACATACTGTCCCCGGTAAGGGTAGGGTTGAGTGCTCACAAACATGTTTAACCCTGTTCTATACATACAATATACCATTAAATCATCAGCCACCCACTCACCAGGACAATGTGATTACTAAGAAACATACTGTCCCCGGTAAGGGTAAGGTTGAGTGCTCACAAACATGTTTAACCCTGTTCTATACATACAATATACTATTAAATCATCAGCCACCCACTCACCAGGACAATGTGATTACTTAGAAACATACTGTCCTCGGTAAGGGTAGGGTTGAGTGCTCACAAACATGTTTAACCCTGTTCTATACATACAATATACTATTAAATCATCAGCCACCCACTCACCAGGACAATGTGATTACTAAGAAACATACTGTCCCAGGTAAGGATAGGGTTGAGTGCTCACAAACATTTTTAACCCTGTTCTATACATACAATATACTATTAAATCATCAGCCACCCACTCACCAGGACAATGTGATTACTACGAAACATGCTGTCCCCGGTAAGGGTAAGGTTGAGTGCTCACAAACATGTTTAACCCTGTTCTATACATACAATATATTATTAAATCATCAGCCACCCACTCACCAGTACAATGTGATTACTAAGAAACATGCTGTCCCCGGTAAGGGTAAGGTTGAGCACTCACAAACATGTTTAACCCTGTTCTTTCTTTGAATGTCCCAGGTCATGAGTGAAATTCCGTGGTTGTCGTTGGTTTTCTGTCTGTCATGTCTGTTTGTCGTTAATTGCTTTGTAATAAATCAGGCCGTTGGGTTTCTCGTTTGAATTGTCTATCTTTTTTTTTATTTTGAAGCCTTTTGATGCTGATATGCGTATTGGTTTTGGTCAATGTTGGAGACCGTACAGTGACATGTAGTTGCTTTCATCCACGTCATTTCGTCTCTGGTTGATAGTTGTCCAATTTGGCAATCATACCACATATCATTATTTTTACACTGTTTGAAATATTATTAGTTACCTCGACACCCAATTTAGTTTTATGGTCCATTATTTCTCTCATGGCAATTGTGCACCTACTTAAAATGTTCCTATAAAGTTTTCATATTCATGTCCATGATAAATGAGGTATTTCAGTCTTTCTGCGAAGTTCAGTGAATTGTCTGGGTATCCTAATTTCCGACGCTAAGATTGGACAATCATATATTGAGTTCTTGTCTTTTTGTTTTAGTTTTGTGTGTTCTTGGTGTCTATCTGATTAGTTTTTCAACTGATTTTTGCAGTTTCTTCTTATGTTGTGTTTTACACCACTATCTCAGGTGCCCCAGAAGGGTAAGCAGTTCTAGTGACATTCATCATATTGTCAATGGGATAACCTGATATGTTATAATTGGCAATAAGGCTTTCATGTATAGTATTTAAATGCCCAACGAAGGCAGAAAGTTCCTAAATTTAGCCGTATATAACACTTAATCTGTTAACTTAAAAAAAATCAATACTCTGTCGATGTTATTTGTAAAAGGAAAGAATTATAGCAAGGAAAACCAAGTACCAAAGATCTAATTATTCAAGGTTGTGGAATACATGCTATATCACAGAATGGATTTATTGATATGGAATAACAGATGACGACGGATATGTTCAAATTTGTCGTCACCACAATCACATCTTCTCGTCCTGGAATGTGACATTAATGAATTTGACTTATCATCTAATTTGTACTCACTTGAGCAACACGACTGATGCCACATGTGGACCAGGATCACCCTGGTTCGTGTTGCTCGGTCTTTTGTTCTTTAGTGTTTTATGTTGTTTTTTGTAGACTGTTGTTTAAATGTTTTTCGCTTCCTTTTGCCGTGCCGTTGTCAGTTTTTCTTCCACTTAAAAGTTTGAATATTCCTTTAGTATACCTCCCGTATCTCTTTTGTTTATTTCATAACTATTTATTTAGTTGATACTAGTTGATCATGCGCATCTAACACTTCCGGCTCGAGTTTTGTTGTTTAGTCTTTATACATATTATTTTGTGGACGGTTCTTTGTCTTTTCGTCATTATTATTTTAGCTATGGTGTTTATCAATCTTCTAATGTCGATTTCAAATAAAACCTCTGAATATCTTCTTTTGTTAGAAGTCAAATTAAACAAATAAAATTAACCATATAAAACTATTCTTTCACACGCTTTCTCGTGTCAGTAGTTAGGATATCTTTCAGGTTTATTTGGGGAACATGACTCTCTAACGTTAATAGTCAAACTTCAACATCGGTTATGAGTCACTTTTACTTACGCGTGGAAATTTCCGTTCTACAGCAATACAGCAATATAAGGAAGAAATAATTAACTTTGTAACCTTTTGTAATCAATTGCCTGCAATTACTTGTGGAAATCATCTTTCTTCATCAATTTTTGGAGGAAGTAACTGATGGTGTAACCTTTTGTAATCAATTACCTATACTAACTTGTGGAAATCATCTTTCTACATCAACATTTGGAGGAAGTAACTGATGGTGTAACCTTTTGTAATCAATTGCCTATACTTACTTGTGGAAATCCTCTTTCTTCATCAACATTTGGAGGAAGTAACTGATGGTGTAACCTTTTGTAATCAATTGCCTATACTTACTTGTGGAAATCCTCTTTCTACATCAACATTTGGAGGAAGTAACTGATGGTGTAACCTTTTGTAATCAATTGCCTATACCTTTTTGTGGAAATCCTCTTTCTACATCAATATTTGGAGGAAGTAACTGATGATGTAATCTTCTGTGGTCAATAGCTTCCTTTATACTAAAACCTAACCATTGTGTTAAAACTGTAACCTGAAAATTACAGTTTTGTTTTTCATTAGATGATACTGATTACATTTTTTAGTGTTATGTGTACATGAAAATGTGTTCTTTGATAGAACTGTCAGATAAGTATGTCCCATATGACTGAACTGTCCAAATAGGTTCTTAAGTAAAACTTCAGAAAATGTTCTACGTAGGGTATAACTGTCAAACACTGTTCTATAGGGTATAACTGTCAAACATTGTTATATAGGGTATAACTGTCAAACATTGTTCTATAATGTATAACTGTCAAACATTGTTCTATTGGGTATAACTGTCAAACATTGTTCTATTGGGTATAACTGTCAAACATTGTTCTATAGGGTATAACTGTCAAACATTGTTATATAGGGTATTACTGTCAAAAACATTGTTCTATAGGGTATTACTGTCAAACATTGTTCTATAGGGTATAACTGTCAAACACTGTTCGATAGGGTATAACTGTCAAACATTGTTCTATAGGGTATAACTGTCAAAAATTGTTCTATAATGTATAACTGTCAAACATTGTTCTATTGGGTATAACTGTCAAACATTGTTCTATTGGGTATAACTGTCAAACATTGTTCTATAGGGTATAACTGTCAAACATTGTTCTATAGGGTATTACCTGTCAAACATTGTTCTATAGGGTATTACTGTCAAACATTGTTCTATAGGGTATAACTGTCAAACACTGTTCTATAGGGTATAATTGTCAAACATTGTTCTATAGGGTATAACTGTCAAACACTGTTCTATAGGATGTTACTGTCAAACATTGTTCTACGTAGGATATAACTGCCAAACACTGTTCTATAGGGTATAACTGTCAAACATTGTTCTATAGGGTATTACTGCCAAACATTGTTCTATAGGGTATAACTGTCAAACATTGTTCTATAGGGTATAACTGTCAAACATTGTTCTATAGGGTATAACTGTCAAACATTGTTCTATTGGGTATAACTGTCAAACACTGTTCTATAGGATGTAACTGTCAAACACTGTTCTACGTAGGGTATAACTGTCATACACTGTTTTATAGGGTATAACTGTCAAACATTGTTCTATAGGTTATAACTGTCAAACATTGTTCTATAGGGTATAACTGTCAAACATTCATCTATTGGGTATAACTGTCAAACACTGTTCTATAGGATGTAACTGTCAAACACTGTTCTACGTAGGATATAACTGTCATACACTGTTCTATAGGGTATAACTGTCAAACATTGTTCTATAGGGTATAACTGTCAAACATTGTTCTATAGGGTATAACTGTCAAACATTATTCTATTGGGTATAACTGTCAAACACTGTTCTATGGGATGTTACTGTCAAACACTGTTCTACGTAGGATATAACTGCCAAACACTGTTCTATAGGGTATAACTGTCAAACATTGTTCTATAGGGTATAACCGTCAAACATTGTTCTATAGAGTATAACTGCCAAGCACTGCTCTATAGGATGTAACTGTCAAACACTGTTCTACAGGGTATAACTGTCAAACACTGTTCTATATATATTGGGTATAACTGTCAAACATCGTTCTATAGAATATAACTGTCAAGTACTGCTCTATAGGATGTAACTGTCAAACACTGTTCTATAGGGTATAATTGTTAAATACTGTTCTATAGGATGTAACTGTCAAACACTTTTCTATAGGGTATAACTGTCAAACATTGTTCTATAGGGTATAACTTTCAAACACCGTTACATAGGATTATATCTGTCAAATACTGTTCCATAGGGTATAACTGTCAAACACTGTTCCATAGGGTATAACTGTCAAACACTGGTCTATAGGGTATAACTGTCAAACAGTGTTCTAAAGGATAAGAGTAATCACGATCTATCCAAGTTTAGAACTGTCAATTAACTGCTTTATAAGGTAGGGTTGTGTCAATCTATCCAAGTTTAAAACTGTCAATAAACTGTTCTATAGGATAGAGTTGTCACGATCTATCCAAGTTTAGAACTGTCAATTAACTGCTTTATAGGGTAGGGTTGTCACAATCTATCCAAGTTAAGAACTGTCAGTAAATTGTTCTATAGAGTAGAGTTGTCACGATCTATCCAAGTTTAAAACTGTCAATAAACTGTTCTATAGGATAGAGTTGTCACGATCTATCCAAGTTTAGAACTGTTCAAAAACTGTTCTATAGGCATAATAGATGTGTCACGACCTATCAAAATTTTGAACTGTCAATAAACTGTTCTATAGGGTCGAGTTGTCTATCCAAGTTTTGAACTGTCCAAAAACTGTTCTAATGCAAACTGTCAGAATATGATTTAGTGTATAACTATTCAAAACTTTTTTATGATAGAACTTTCAGGGTCTGTTATAGGATATAACTGCCAAAAATTTGCTAGGGAAGAACTGTCAAACTATGTTCTAGAGTAGAAGTGTTAGAATTGTTTCCAGGGAAGAACTGTCCAAAACTGTTCTTGGGTATATCTATTAGAAAATGGTCATGTGTAGAACTGTCAAAAAAACTGGTCCAGGGTAGAATTCTCAGGACTTGTTATAGAGTATTACTGCCCAAAACTTTTCTACGGTAGAACTTTTATAATCTGTTTAATTGAGTAGAACTGTCCAAACTGGTTCTAGGTTAAAACTGTCCAAATCAGTTCTCAGGTAATTGTCCAAATCGGTTCTCGGGTAAAACTGCCAGAATCTGTTCTAGGGTATAATTGCCCAAAACTGTTCAGGATCTGCCAGAATCTGTTCTAACGTTGTCAGTTATGGTCTTGTGATTGTTCTGGAATAGTTCCCCTGGCAGTTCCTGATAGAAGTTAAAAGTTATAAGAACTGATTTCAACTGTATTGTACCCTGTATTTAATCAAACCGTTAGTCGTCTGTCCCCATAATTACTAAAGATTTAAATTACCTGGTGTCCATAACTGTTTAATGTTGTTCCAGGTGAAAAGTATTTCAGGTGAAAGCTTAAGGTGATCGAGGTGAAAAGGCAGGTAAAACATCTACCAAATGACTAACTTACTTACTTAGACCTCAGAAAAACATGTGATATGCACAACAACTATTGTGTAAAATCCGTCAGTGTTATTATTACCTTACAATTACTGAGGTTGTAATTATCTTTGTACCACCCGAGGCTCCAACGATTAGATTTACCACGCCGTCAGGAACAACTATAATACTAGGAGACATTGAGGAAAGAGGGCGTTTCCCGGGTTTAAAGAAATTTGCTGGTGATGCAGGAACACCAGAATAATTAACTGTGTAGAGAAATCGTCCATATTGTTGTTAAATATTACACCAGTCCGACTTCCAACAACTTTAGATCCGAAACTGAAATACATTATATATATTAATCGATAAAAGAGGGTCTGGATGGGGGTTTACAGAATAGAGAATAATGGGCAAAAAAATAAAGAATGGAGAAAAATTAACCAAAAAAAATAAAGAATAGAGAATAACGGGGTGCTAAAATATAAAGAATAGAGAAAAATGGACCAAAAATATGAAGAATAGAGAAAAATTATCTAAAAAAATAAAGAATACAGAAATGAAAGACCGCCCATCCAGACCCTCATATTTAATGGTCAAGGTCAATGACAGTTTGCTTTCTGTTGTGTTGTATACTTAAATCTTTATAGTTCATTGTGTTTTCGTGTAATAATATATTTGTAGCTCTCCTTTGAATAATGAATACGTTTTCCACTATGCCAATCGTTCTATAAGTCATGTAAACCATTTGCATGATTAGTATGTAGGTTTATTGCTTTTTAACAGTTGACGCATATTAATAAAATCCTTTCGAGCACCGCTGACTAGATATAAATATTTATGTCAGCTGTCAACCTCTTGGTTTCTTCCGTTTCATTTTTGAACCTCTAGTACGATCTTATTTTGGGGATACTTCTAAGATACTAAGGTACTAAGATAAGAAACGTTAAGTGTTATTTTCAAAACATGATGTAAATGTTCAACTAAAATGTAATAGCTGGCAAATTAATTTTTTTTGTATTTTTATCAGAAATATGAAACATCAAAACTTTGTGAAATAAAGTTTTCCGAAACCTCGTCAGTTGTAATATTTTTCAAAACTTCATAATGTTGTTTTTCGTTTTTATATATTTATACTCCGACACGAGGGTCTGGACAGGGGTCCTTCATTCTTTATTCACTAACTTTTAGGCCCGTTTACTCCACTGTATTCTTTATTTTTTTTGCTCTATTCTTTATAATTCAGCACCCCATTATTCTATAATTTGTTTGCCTATTTTCATTTTCTTTATTTTTTTAGCCCTTTATTATGCAACTTTTGCCCACTAATCTCTATTCTGTAAATTCCATCCAGACCTTCCCACATGACCTTTAATTTATAGTTATAAAGCACAGACCTCTCTGTGTGCACCAGAAATTGTTAATTTCATTGCAACACATATTTTTTTATGTTAATTTCTTAACTTTTCTTTCAATATTAAACATGCATAAAGGTATGGAAATTGAAGCTTTAAAGGAGACGAAGAGCTTTGTATCCAACGATATCTTTATCAGTAAAACAGAAATTTACTTTGTATCACAATTTGCTACTTATTTTTTGGAGAGACATTTTGTAAAAGCTGTTACTAAAAGCATACTTCCCGACTGTCAATAAGAATAGTGATCTGAAAAGACTGTAGCTTTCAAAGAGTCATCAATTTAAATTTTAATTCTACTACAAACCGTCCAATATATTCAATATGAACTGTACAATTGCTCCGCTGGAAGGCGGTGGAGGGGAAGACACAGTTTTGTCTTTGTTAAGTTTAACTACCACAGGATCCTTTCGTAGTGCCGTGTAACCAGCAAGGTCGTCCTCAGTTATGATACCTCCTGTAAAATAGAAATATAACTTAAACTAAGTGGAAATATATTTTCTAATTTGTTATAGCTCGCAATCGGAACTACTGAACCATTCTCGATACGCCTACAATAACGTAAAATAAGATAATTTACACAGACTACAAAGGAAAATGTTCCAGACTTAAACTTTTTATAAAAGATGTCTGGACCTCACGAGATGCAACAACAAATATTTCACTTGTATAAAATATTTAAAGGTAGGCATTACAATTAAAGGCAGGTAGGGAGGCAGGAAACAGAACTTTATGTTTTGCCTATGCAGTAATGCAGAGTTTCCATCATTTAGGGTCTTATATGACTCTGCTACAACTCACCCGCATCTTGTATGTCCGCCACTATATCTGTACTCAATCTGCCATTATAGAATGCATCTACACCTTCATTAGCGATGATTTCCAAAGTTCTGGCTAATTTTGGCCTTTTTACAGTATCACCAGCCTCATAAAAACGCCCTGTTTCTGGGTTTACTACTAAATCTCTGTAAAAAAATAAATGATTACAAAGAAAGTGTTTTTAAAAGTCCAAATATCTAATCAAAACATGTCTCTTTTGAATAAAAAAAAAATCATTTTATTGAATCACAGAGGAGACCAAACATCATTCGTATCACATAATTAGATTACTTCATTAAATTTACCAGATCTAATCTTGCTTGATCTACTACTTATTTCTAGCAATACTGATTTCTAATAATCTTATACGTATTTCGTTAGAAATTAATTCAAACAGCCATTAAAAAAGTTGTTGAGGTCTTTATTATCTTTCTTTCTTTCCAAAGGTACCTAAAGATTAATTGAGTTTTATCTTCCGTATGAAAAATTGAGCTTGATAAACCATCCGTCAAATGCAAACAATTGCAGACAGTAAATGTTAGCAATCTTGACCTTGAATGGTTTACATTACAACTACGCACGCCCTCTATAATCAGATGTTTGGTATTTTAAACGCAGGAAATCCGATTAAAATCAATTATGATAGAAACTATATACTAACTTTAATCCCTGGAATGTTTTAATATTTTCGGTTTGACGAGACATTGCAAAGGCAAGTGGGTTTCGTACCACAATACCCTCCCGACACAATTTGATTGACGGCTGAAATAAATCTTTCCATGGAAGTTTACCACCAATCTGATGAGCTAACCAAAGACCACGTACCTGACCAGGAATACCAACAGCAAATCCACCTAAAGACAAGAACATCTTTATGAACTTTTATTTATATTCATGTGTATTATTGACTGAACTAAACAAAAACTCATTTATTATAAATTTCAAAAATGTCGTTTGAAGCAACCATAACCTGACAGTTATGATTAGATGAAACCGATTATATCAACGATCAACACTTAATTTCATAAAATACAGGCCAAAGATTAATATAAGATAAAAATAAAGACAACTATTGACAAGACGACGTTCTCCACAAAAGACTGTCACGTGAACATGTCGGGGTAAAACTAGATGTACCAACACTCTGTTATCTCCATTTATATTTCTATCAAAGGAATGATCGTTTTGGCCTTTTGTCGACATCTGCAAAACAGTCAACATAATAAATGGTTAATTACACTTTCCAAACACGATCCAAATCAAATTTAAAGATTGCTTATTCTTTTCCTTAAATTTATGGTATAGAAAAACAGCTTCTTCAAATGTTGGTAGTGATACGTACCCTCTTCGATGATCCACCAACAAACATGGTCTCATTAGCGTCACCGGGAGCCATTTCACGAGCTATGATCGTGTATGCAGATCTATTCTCCCTGAAATCAAGACGTTGTTTGTAATAAGTAATCTTTTTCTGTACATTTTCTTATAAAAAGATAGTGTCAATTATAAATGTGAAACCGCTAGTCGACGGATTAGGATGCTAATAGAGGTCGGTCAATTTAAAACGTATCCAAAGTATCCGATACGTTGACGTATACGCATCTGGGAGAATATGCTAAAATAATTACCACGATCGCGAGTATTACCATATATACTATTTTCAAAGAATAACGGGAAACTATCTTTTTGGCCATAACTGGTTAATTTACATCTGTTTATGTTTGAATGACTCATTTAAATATCGAACCATAGAGGTCGGTCAATTTCAAGCGTCTCCTTATCTGGAGATATACTTTCCAAAAACCAACATATTATACCGAGTTTTAAGGTTCATCATAACCTTTTTGCAAATATGGTCTTATTTACAACACAAATTTCACTCTGGGTACATACAAACCTGTGCATCTGGAAAAGTTTTAGAACACAGCTGGATCTAGATATATAAATTTTAAATGCATTTTAAGTTTCAGAATATTAAAAACTTAACTTGATTGTGCCATTCATTTTTTTTCATTCTTGCAGAAGGTGCCAAAATGATAAAGTTGGGAAAGAGGTTTGAAATGCTCCACTCATATGATTAATGTTTCGAGTTGTATTGATTTGAATGGGCAATAGATCGACAATAGACATCAGTAAGCAATAGGTGATTTAAACTGTGTAACTGAGTGGACCGTAGCAAATGAAACTCAAGTGTTTGTTTATTTTTCTATCTTCTACAGACTGAAAAAATGCACATCAAAATCCAGGTACGTTTTAAATTTTCTAGAACATAAACTACATATAACCTTTATATATCTATGTCCAGCCATGCCTCAAACTTTCCTGGATACATCGGTTTGTATGTACTCAGAGTAGATTTTGTGGTGTTAACACGGCCATATTTTTCAATTAATTCCTTTTGATGAACCTTATGGTTTATGACCCTTGTGTAGGCCTGTTTATCACGAAATTTTTCAAATGTACTATATAAAAACAGCAAAAATACTGATTAAAAGAGATGTGCAATTTTGTACTTATACCAAAGGGAAACGTCGTTCACAGATATAATATTTTTTGTAAAATTGCATTTAATAGAAAATATGGATCTTGTGGCAAATCAAACAGACTATCGTTATAAAATTTGAAACCTTGATTACTCACTAGCTTATCCATCTTGTGCACTTGTTTAGTGTTGACAAAAAGTCCTAAACAACCTTTACAATCCAAAAAAATCCTCGTGCTGAGTCAATGAAGTCGAGCACACCCTAGAATTTGTAGTTGTTTTAACTAATATTTTTATTTAAAAACTTGTACAAGAAAAATATATCTAGCACTGCATGCAATCCCCTATCTATTATGTACAGAATTGTCAAATATAAGAGTACATAGAGAAAGGCTGTGGATTTTCTATAAAATTTCCATATATTAAGCATTGATAAAATAAAAGGGTACATAATCCTAAAGACCCTTCTATAGGCCAGTAGAAAACGAAATTTTCAAAGCGCAATAATATAAACCCAGCAAAAATACTTTTAAAAAAAAAGACGTGTCATATTGAACATATACCGAGGGGTAACTCCTGCAGATTGATAATGTCTATTGTTTCGTTGCAATTGATAGAAAATGGGGATTGTGTGGCAAATCAAGCTAAGATTTGCCACTCATACGTACGACACATGACATTGAAACAAACCTATAGCTAGAAATTCAAGTGAGCCATTCAGAAATAAGAAGATGCGAATTGATCAGTTGACTGAGTTGTGGCCACAAAGTTTGATCCCCGTCATTGTTTAAAAATACTACATAGAGTAAAACTCGCAATCGAAGTAATTATTCAATCGTATTCCTTCAGATGCGTATACGTCAACGTATCGGATACTTTGGATACGTTTTAAATTGACCGACCTCTATTAGCATCATAATCCGTCGACTAGCGGTTTCACATTTATAATTGACACTATCTTTTTATAAGAAAATGTACAGAAAAAGATTACTTATTACAAACAACGTCTTGATTTCAGGGAGAATAGATCTGCATACACGATCATACACATTATCATGTGACCAAGGTCATTTATTAGAGACAACTCAGTAACTGTATGATTTGTGAGGTAAGCATTTTTCTTGAATACATTGTTCTATAGCAAAAATTGTCAAATTCAATTTGAGACGATTAATCAAAGCAGGATTTCATTTTCATTATCCTTTCAGCAGTATTGCACATAAAAGTTAAACTCCAACTTACATTTTGATGCATTTTATTGATTGGACAATTACAGAGTGATTTTCGCAAATGACTGATGACTGGTGTATTCATATAATGTTCCTCGTTCACAAGTTAGATATGACTCATTACAGGAAGCCGCAATGCATGGACTTCCGGACAATACAACTAATGCTACACGAGCAGCAAAATATGTCTATCCTTATAGAACATGTGATATCACTCCTGATTCCTGGTATTCAAGCTTTTTTGTTTGTTTTTGTTTTTGTCTTCTCTTCTTTTTTTTTTTTTTTTTGGTTCGTATTGTAAAAGCATTAGTTTGGAGTGTTACAGAGTGTTTCAATCCGTTTTAGTTCATCATAAATACCTACTTATTATAGACAGCCATGCAGAAGCCACCTTCTATGCCACTAGGATTAAAATTATGTACGCCAGACGAGCGTTTCGTCTTCAACAGCATCATCAGTGACGCTCAAATCAAAAAAGTTTTTTAAAAAGCGAAATAAAGTACAAAATTGCAGAGCATTGAGAACCCAGAGTTCCGAAAGTTTTTGCCAAATACTGCTTAGGTATTTTATTCCTTGGGTAAACAATCATTGAATTATTATAGGTATTTAGTTGAATACATGTGCATGTTATATTTGAGTTTTTTTGCGAGTTACAATCAAATCCTGATTAATATCAGTAAAAGAAGATTTGGTGTGATAACCCCATTAAGATAAATTTCCACCTGCAACATGATGACGTGAATGCAAGCAACTATAGGGCACCGTACGGTCGTCAATAATAAGCAAAACCTTAACCGTACAGTAAGCTATAGTTGTAATTGTTGTTTTCAATTTTTTACATCACTGGGTCGATACCTCTGCTGGTGGACTATCAGTCCCCGAGGGTATCATCAGCTCAGTAGTCAGTATTTCGGTACTGACATGATTTATAACAAACCTTTCTAAAATTGTCCGTTTATAAATTTTTAAATTATAAAGAAACTAAGGTTTCAACTCCCTCAGGCAAAGTTGGCCTTACATGAATTTGGCTATTTGTTTTAGGTATTTTTGTCATATAGCTCTTCAACTGTTTCGGTACTTATACATCCCTCGGATTTCAAATGTTTGGCTTTGAGCGTTCCTGATGAAGGTAAATCCAGAAAAGCGCTTCGGACGCATGAAATTATTAAACGTGTTGTTTTCAATTTTTTTCTATAGAATGCACCAAATTTACTTTTCCAAAGCGATTGTTTAAATTACACGTGGGACCATGCCAGGAAATCGCCAACAGTTCAAATGATGATCATTCGTGTGTCTTAATCGTCAGTTTTTAAAGTTGTTCGTCATTTCGGCGTATTTTTCTATTAAATATTGTACTACTCATCGAATAAAAAATTCTTATATATATGTAGGTCGGACGAAATAATTTTGCCAAAATGTGAACTTATACATTTAGAGGTTTATTGCCATGAAATAGTTTAAATGTTATGACAGTCATGAGTAGTGCCGCCACAAATGAAGAAAACAAAATCTGCTATTCTTCCGACGGAATTTGCCCTCATCTTAAAAGGGGTTCATGTGGCTCATTCAAAGTTTTCTGATAAACATTTCGCGGTAATTTCTTTATGATCCTGCTCCTCATTTCGCCTAACTGTTCTTCTACTTTTTCTTTAACAGATGTTTAGAGTTTTGCATATGTGATATCGAGGTCAAATAGCGGCTCTTATCATACGACCTCTTTTGTTAATTAGAATACACGCAAATGTAAATAAACAACCTTACGTTCTGATCAAATATAAATATTTAATCTTACGTTCCGATCAATGTAAATGTATAAAATATTACGTTCCGATCAAATGTAAATATACAATCCTACGTTCCGATCAAATGTAAATATATAATCTTATGTTCCGATCAAATGTAAATATATAATCTTACGTTCCGATCATATGTTAATATATAATCTTACGTTCCGATCAAATGTTAATCTATAATCTTACGTTCCGATCAAATGTGATCAAATGTAAATATATGATCTTACGTTCCGATCAAATGTAAATATATAATCCTACGTTCCGATCAAATGTAAATATACAATCTTACGTTCCGATCCTTGCACATGGAAGTCAAGCATCAGATGGCACTGCAGCGAATCTATAATGTCCTTCAATGGAATCGGA